AAATAATGATAATAAAATATAAATGCTGTGTCACAACTATTTTGGATTCTTAGAGAATAGTTTATTTGGTATACATTATTATACTGCTTTATCTTCTGATAAGCTAACTTTTTTTTAATTTAGTTGCTGTGTTTGCAAACGTAAAGAAAAAAATTGAAAAATTTGTATAAGATATTTATTTTTTTTGTTAAATTTTTATGTGCGGCCCGCATAGTAAACTTTTAAATATATTTGGCCCTCTTGATACTTGGAGTTTGACATGCTTATTATACGAATATATTCACACCAATCTACGGTATGTCGTAATTGACTTATTAAAGTTGCATGATATTATGTTTTTAAAATAACTAAATAAACCTATCATAAGTGTACATAATGTATTACATGATAGAAAATTAAATTAGTAGTATAGCAATATAAATAAATTATAAAATATTCTTAAAAATAGAAATCTGATGACCGACACGCAGTCAGTCACCACTCGTATTCATTTGTTGTGTATACCGCAATTATTTAAGTATTCTTTAACATAATTTTAGTATACGCAATACACATCCACACAGTGACATAATCAATGAAGAAGTACGCTAGAAATTTACTTTATACATCAGAGCTAGTTATCAATTTGACAAGCAGTTACAAAAAAGGTAAGTATATAGTATTAGTATAATATAGTATTAAATTGGCTATTCATGAGTCATAATACGAGTATACCCACTAGGCTATAATTTTAATACTCTTTGATGTTTTGATAGAAATAATAACAAGATAGATTGATTATTCTTTTTTTTTTTTTTTTTTACCCAAATTAGTGTACTTTTATCCAGTAATTTATGTTAAACAGAAAATACCTAATTTACCGCTGTTATTTTAACGTTACATACTAATCAAATCAACGTAGGTAAAGAAAACTATATAATACTAGAATACTATCTCTCAGTCGTTATTATTTTTTTATTTTGCTGTTCAAGTAATAGTCTAATATTATCAATACATAAAAACATTTAATATTGCGTTTTCAATAAATATTATATGTATTGCTAAGTGTGTGATGTGCCTATATATACGACATAAATAATGTTCTCATCTTTCAGCATGTTATATAATATATCAAATAAATTTATAAATCTAATATTGATATAAATGAAATAGTGCTTGTATTAGTGTTTTTTTTTTTTTTATTAGTGTTTTTTTTTTTTTAACTTAAAAAAATTGTATTATTCACGAATTTTCAACAATCTTAAGGAGCTGTAACATGATGCATAAAGCAAACTGCACCATTTCATAAGTATAAGAGGTGATAGCATACGTGTGAATATAAACTTCACTCGAAATATAACAATATCTTACATTTTTGAACTATTAACAAAGTTATGATAATATATCCTCAAAATATTTTCAGTACCATGATTTAAATTAGATATATGTATAAAAAACATAAGTTTAAGGGAAATTAAACCTATAGGTTTATGTCAAGTTTACGAATTTACTAATACTCAATTATTTGTCAAAAAAAAAAAAAACCCATTTTTATTGGTTTTAGACGATTTTTCATTTTTCAACTATTCTGTAGCACATCACTTATCAGTAATAATATTATATGATCGATACATCTTTATAATAACTATAATGTGTAATTTTTCTGTCCAACTAGATCATAAAATCGTGCAACTTCTAAACGACTTTTAGATTTTTTAAAGTTATTTCAATAAATTCTTTGAAATTTGATGAGTATTTATAATTTATTTTTCATCCTCAAAAAGTTGTTATAGGATCACTCACATAGTCATAAATGTCCTCATAAGTAATTCATACTGAAACTTCAAATTTTAAAAATTATTTGCTTACTAAAAATGATTGATAATTTAATATAAGATTCCTCGTAATTGTTCATTTATCATTTAAAAAATATAAAAATTTTAAGTCATTTTTATAAGCGTTTAAATTTAGAATTTCGAAAATTTTCAAACTATTTTGTAGTTAAAATTTTATTTCCATTTTTCTTTTGCATTAAAGATTTAAAAACGTAATACAAAATTTTCTTTGAGTTTTTAAACTATTATTTATAAACATTTTCTACTAGAAAGTAAAATTAACTTTGTATGTGTGTTTAAAGTACAATTTTTGATATTTTAGTATAATTAAAATTAAATTATTGGAAAAACAGTAGGTACATATTATTTGACCTTTTCATAAAATGTTTATATGATCATTTTTTACACAAAATAAAAATTTCAAAATATTTTGACTCTTTTTAAATTATTTATAGATATTTAAAATTTGAATTTTTACTTTTATAAATGTCGATAAATATTTTAACGTTTGGAAAAAATGATTGAAAATTTAGCACAAGATTTTATATACCTAAGTAGTTCATGCCAAAACCAAAAAATCTAAAAAATATTTAAACATAATTTATTATTCTTTATAGATATTTTAAGTTCAAATTTGGATAAAACTACATGAATATTGCTATATTTTATTATTCTGTTATACCAAGTTCAAAAACAATATTCGCGAGGACAAAACTTTTACACAATATACTATATTTTTTACGAGTGTATAAAATCATTGAGTAATGGTATTTTTAAATGCAATGTTTTGGCCAAAATTAATTCAATTTACTGTATATATTATAAATAGTAAAATAAATTACCTTACTTAATATTTAATAGCAATTTAATAGAAAAGAACATGAAATATATACTTAGTAATATAGATTGATACTTTGATAGCCTGTGTCTGCAAATCTCCGTTTAGAATTATTTTTCATATACAATGATGTACTTATCATTAAATTAAAATGTAACATACTCATCACGCACTTACCCACTTTTTTTGTTTTTAATTACATAAAGATCGTTCATATATTTGTGCAGATTTATTTTATTTTTACATTATGTATAATTATAAGAAAATGAAATAACATTTTAGTTTATTTTCGATTTTTATATTATAAACATAAACATAAATTTTAGTTGCCACTGTGTGTGATGTGTGTGTGTGCGTTTGTATATGATATAACTATAGAGTATAGGTGCCTACCATAAAAAGTAAATATGTTAGTCCAATGTCTGACAAAATATATATTTACTAATGATAAATACATTCTGCCAAACCAAACAAACATTCATGCTTGTATATTCTTAAGTTATAACTATTAATTTGTAAGTAACTTAATATAAAATCCAAAGACATAATATGTCATCCCGAACCCGATTACAAAGTCATTTCTGTTTGATTAAGTTCACAATATCATGTTAAGAGGAGGACGCCACACTCGTATGTGATATCTCCATCTTACCTATAAATACCTATACAACATAGCAAATTTGAGTTCAGCGGAATCCATTTTATGGTTATAGCTTTAATATTATAGTAAATTTATCTATTATCAAACCTAAAGGTATGAATATTATCTAGGATATTATATAAGCTTTTATTGATATTATTTTAAAGTGAATTATAGCTATTTGAAATATTACAATTTTAAAATGTTCATAACTCACTTAAAAATTACCATATTAATAAAAGTCCTACGAGATGGTCTGAATAATATTTATACCTTTAAGTTTGATAAAAGATAAATTTCTCTAGTATTAAAACTAACGAAAATAAATTTGATTCTGCTGAATAAAAATTTTGCCATGTTATATGTATGATGAAAACAACACATCCGGGTGTGGCATCTTCATAACATTATAGCTAAAGTCGTTTATTTATACTATTTATTGAATATTTTTTAGGAAGATGTGACACTGTAAACGCATCTTATTTTAATATATTTACCTCAATAGTATAACCCAAGCCCTAAAAAAAAGGCACAGCTATGAATATTATATTAATATATATATATATATATATCATGTATATTTTTATTACTATTCAATTTTTAGAATAAAAAAGTATCCCTTCATAGATTGCATTGGAAAATTTTTGTTAGGTATTACATTCGATGAGTTAACTAAAATAATATTCAACAAGTAATATGTTTTTATCTGTATAATAGTCAATAAACAAACCTTTTATATTTATATCCACAAACCAAAAAGCTATCAATATTGAGGTCGAGGACAAGACAGTTTATCACTGACCAAACTACTAGGATTTTAATTTTTTTTAAACACGAGTCTACGGATTTCTTTTCCCAAATATATAATTATTTCAAAACTAATAAATAATAAACAAAACCAATTTAAAGAAATATTTTTGAAAATATTTATTTTTTAAAAATTTGTATAAAGTATATTATGTTGTTGTATAATGAATAATAAATAATAATAATAATAATAATAGTAAAAAAAAAAAAAATTAACAATTGAATTGTTTCAATGATTATAAGTCACAGAGAGGCATTTAAAAATAAAAATAAAGCCAAGTTGACGTAACAATAGTAACTATTATTTTATTGTGAAAGCGACTGTTAAACATGAAAATGTGAGAGTCGCCACCATGAAAATCAGTATGTATCTGGCTTAAACAAAAGGTAAATTTATTAAAATTAAAATAAATAAATATTTTAACGTTTTTTAAATTGTAACAAAATTGATAATGATTACACAATAATTATTATTTATAACACACACATAAATACATTTAAAACTAAATAGTATACAATTCAGTTGAGAAAATAGAATTCAATTAAAAATAAAATATGTTTTTATAACAAATAAATTGAGCTGAAAAATTAACAAACATAATTTCATGGATAATTGATTTTTCCATTTTAGATTATTAAGTTAAATTTTTAACCAGTCAATGATTAAAACGTATAATTGGTAAACAACTTTAAATTTACTATCAACAAATACTAACACATAAATTATGATTTTTTTTTTGTTATTCATTATCCAAACTTAAAATTATAAAATGTTTAGGTTAATTTATACTTATAAATCAGATATGACTCAAAATATGATACTTTAATTTAGTGTGGACACAAAAGAAAAAAATCAAAAATATTGAACATTTTATATAAATTAAAAAGTAACTAATAACTTATATTAAATCCATTTGCTGTAAAATTAATAATCAGTACCTAATTAGATGTACATGGCATATATTATATGGATAATTTTATCATGAACATATTTATACTTCAATTTCATGGCGTTTAATTATATCTTTATAAGTTTCACTGTGAAACTTAGAAAATATTTTAGAAAATATAAATGTAACGAGTGTAGCATTAAAACATACTACAAAGATTGTAAAAATAAAATCAACATTAGATTCTTGATTCTCTTGTATTTTTACTAAATTTTTCTCATTTGGTTCTTTGAAATATATCCATAACAGTGCCAAGCAGATGAAAACATTACTAGGTATTTTAATCACATTTGATATGGTAACTCTTATCTTTTCTGGTATTACTTGACTCTTTAAATATGTCATGGATGGAAAGTAAATACCAATAGACATTTCAAACAATAAGAAAAAAAAGTAACAAGTCATTACTTTATAATATTTTAGTTCGCCGTTGTAATCAATAAATATGTTTGAAATTGCTAAGGAACACATTAAAAATGAAAAGCTTGCTATAAATGTAGCCAGTTGCAATTGTTTTTTTGAATCTAAAGAATTATTTCCCAAGAGTATTGAATATATTTTTGAACCTATCATTAGAGCTAACATAAAACTTGAAAATACTAACCCCAAAGGTGGTTTTGAGTCTTTTAATACATCAAATGTCGGGGTCCAGATATAAATAAATAAGTACATGACACCTTCGTATAAGGACTGAACAACGCTGAGGGTAAAGATATTTTTATTTGTTATCCACAAAATAATAGCATTCTTTACTGACGCTGAGGCCGATTTTGTGTTGCGAACATAGTGTTCATTTATCACAGACATAACATATATGCTAGTAGTTAAGAGAAATGGAATGGCTGTAACAAAAGGCGCAACAGGTCCCAATTCCAACACGCTCACCAAGAAGTATGACAACAATCCAGCTAGTATGGCAAGTGTAGCATTAAAAAAAGTTGCTTTGGCAAACGTATTATTCAACCACTCTTCTGGCAACTTGTAATAATTGATATGCTCGTTGATGTACCACGAATCAAATGCCGAATAAAGAATAGACGTGCTTATACCTCCTAACATGCGTCCAACCAGCAATAACTGAAAGTTTCCAAACATTTTCGTCACACAACAACCCGAATACAATATACCGTAGGAAATGCAAAGTATTTTCCGGCCATAAATATCAGCCAACGCTCCAGTGATTGTACCAAATAAACTGTTGGATATTGTGCCGGTAATGAAAAGGACGGCTATCTCTCCTTCGTCATAGCCGTACTGCTTGTACAATTTGTAGACATAAGGACCTTGGAGCCAATCAGCAAAACAAGCCAAACAGTAGATGATCATGTAACGCCTCTGGAGTTTCTGGAAGTCTGCGTTTGTTTCTTGTTTCAGTTTCTCCACTACATATTTTTTGGAAACAGCAAACAGTATCGCTGCGATCGTGAGCAACACGATTATGACGATGAGGAACATGACGTCCATTTGTCATCACAGGAAACGGCAAATCTGAAATAGATAATCGAAAATCAATACACACACACGCACGGTGTCAACTGCTTGCGAACCGAGTGCGAACAATAATAATTCTTTAAAACGAGCAGCGTTTATTGTCGTTATAATAATATTTCAACTTGCCGACATCGTTCGGAAGGCAGTTGGGGGGATTTTGTTTTTGTTTTTGTATTGCTCTACGCGGCAAGCGACCACATTATAATAATGACAATATTAAAATATTAGAAAAACATCATAAATATTATGCGGTTCGAGACGTGTATTCGTACGACGTCAAACGGCGATTCGACAACGACATACCATTGCATTGCGCGTACTGAACGTTAATAATAGGACGTCCATCGCGATAAAATATGTTATATTATTCTGTGCCGACGACCGTTTTCTGGGAACACTCGACGAGCACAGCACTGCAATCGTTGTGTCGGCGGTTTTCGGTCCGGGCCGGACGACGGTGTGCCGCCGGGCCGTATCGCGAGACTGAATGTGCCTAATCGATTTTCACATGATTATTCCCGAGAAATAATCACAGTAAAAAAATATAATCTCATGAATACGAATGAAACCGTGCGCCGCCGTGTACAATATTGTGCGTGCGTACCGCGGTAAACGCGGCAGCGACGACGACGACGTCGTGTTTATAGGAAGTTTCGACGGTGAAATCAATTCACAGAACGCATTATTATTTGAAAACGGTCGTCGTAGATTCGAGAAACGTCTTAACTCTAAACGATTTTTACTCAGTATCAGTAGTTTGCAGCCGCCGTTAGTGGATTTTTTTATTGTCCGTTATCAGCTGCACTATCGGCGGCCCGTTATCAACCGCCAGTGAACTTTGCTCTTTCGTTCCGGCGGCGTCTACGACTCCTACAACTACTCGTGGCTCTACGCTATTATTATTATTATTATTAAACGAACATCAATGCGTTACACAACTCGCAGACCATTCCGGTCTTCGATTATTTTATTTTTTTAACGTTATATTTATTACTGTGTACAATAGCCATGCAGTAGTAGTAGTAGTAGCAGTAGTAGCAGTAGTAGTAGTAGCAGTAGTAGTAGTAGTAGTAGTAGTAGTAGTGGTAGTAGTACCTATGACTAATCTCGTACGGCTATCGTAGATTATGCTACTGGTTTCGGTTTACCTCCGATTTCCCAACAACCATAATAATATAATAGTTAATAACATAACATACCAGCCTAATTGCCACAATAAAAATATAATATTATATCAATAATTGAGATGTACATAAAATACGTATCTGAATGTTTTTGGAAAATCGTATAATATGTTATGTAATAATGTAACATGCTAACATAACATTATGTATTATAATATTATAATATTATAATCGCTTTCAACAAATTTTTATTGTGACATTTTTTACCGATTAAATTATATGACAATTGTATTGTGTTACATGTATTATATTATATATAATATCTATTTAAAAATAATGACGTATTGTATTGGTAATTTATAGCAATCAATATTGATTAAGTAGATAGCTACATCATAACATAACATAACTTTCTGGCGAAAAAAAATGTCTTATGTAAGAATAACCTTCAATAGTTTTTACTTTTTATTTATAGTGCAATAGCTTTTAATCATGGACATTACACTCGTACTTATATAAATTTCGAAAACATTTTAATATATTTTTTTTCCTTTGAAAATGTATCTAATTTATTTTACGATTATGCAGGAATCAGTATACCTACCTATCTATACATAAAAAGTAACCTACCTACACGTGCTAAAAATTGTTAAACAAATGTTTATTTTTATTTTATAAATAATTTTAAATACCCACTGTAATTTTAATGATAATATTAATTGCTTTAATGATTTATCATTATTAATAATGCATTTTTTGTTTATTGGCGTCTTACAAATTACCTATTGGCGCCATACATTCTTTTACAAATATTTATGTATGTTATACAGGTAAATTGTAAATATTTAAAATGTATAATTAATAATTTCTAAAGTTATATTTTGTTTTTGAATAACATTTCATAAGTATTTTAATTGTAATTGAAGACATTATGACAATAATAATCGTTTATTAATAGTTTATCTAATACAAAGGTAATAATTATAAAGTCGTGTATAGCCGTATAGGTACGACAATCTTATAATGTTTAAATCTTTGATAATTGAATATAATGTTTTATTTCTATCCTGAAGGACTGCCTTTATTATTTTTTGAATTATAGAAATGGGCCAGCAATCTGTAAACATGAGCGAGACCGTTTTCAACCAAAACAAAATTTTACATAAAATATACAAAAAAATAAAATAATTGGTATATAATTTTTTGTAAAATTAGAACAATTTTAGAATTATGTAATTTTGAAAATTATTAAAAGTATCTCTTGCACAAAATGTGGAAAATTATTTAAAATATAAGAATATCTATATGTTAACATTATTTTAATGTTGATATGTCACAAACCTACTCATATGGTTTAGATTTTATTTTTTTATATAATATACATATTACATACTGTGACATAACTATACATAAAAGTAATGTTAATATATAGATATTCTTATATTTTAAATCATTTTCCACACTTTATTTTACAATATTTTTATGCATTTTAAACTTTTAATCATTTTCAAAGTTATATAGTTATACAATTGCCCAAATTTTACAAAAATTATATACATACCAATTATTTTATTTTTTTACATATTTTACACAAAATTTTGTTTTGGTCGAAAAATGAATCGGGCGAAAAGGGAAGGGTACGATTTTGATAAAATATGACCATGCCCATAAATATTAGCCCAGGATCTCTGGAGGATTAACTTGAGCTTAAAATGATAAAATGATAAAATAATTAGGTATGTGAATCGTTTTATAAGCTACAATTAATTAAACTATAATGTATATTATACTGTGGAGAAAAAATGCCAATACTGGAATTGTGTGAAATATTTTGTTTTAGTAGATGTCTTATTCATTTTAATAGTATCTATAGTGTATAATAATTAATATATCTATTATTATTAAATACGTCACAGTGTTGGGTAGTAAATTGATAGATTTTTAATAGATCAATAAAATTATTTATATTTATCGTGCCAATATGGACAGACTGCAGAAATGATAATTTGGAGAAAAAAAATTAGTCGCTTCATTCTCATTACGACTAACTAATATTTAAAATAAACAAATCATTATATAGTAATTATTAATGGTAACTGGGGTAAAAGATCTTAAAAAAAACAATGGAAAAAAATTCATTGGAAAAATTCTTATAATTAATTAATTTTGTGTATTGTTTTATCGATATGCTGATAAAACATTCTTTGGTTTTTAATATACGAGTAAATAGGTCAAAATATAAGAAAGATATCTGTTTAAATTAGCTTATTATCATTAGGTACTCATTAGATATAAATTATATTACAATATTATTTTTTATGCTTACGTCTAAGAATTTATGTATACCTAATAATAATTTTTTTTAGTGTATTAATATAACAATACAAATCATTAAATATTAATAATTAATATTTTATTGTTTATCATGATAACTAATAATTGTTTAATGTTTTGTAATATTCATACGTTTAAATTTGATTATTTTATTTTCATCAGATATTTTTAATGTATGGATATTACAACATACATACTAAATTAATTATTAATAGTTATTTTTTAAGGGTTTTTTCTTAAGTTCTTTAATCTTGACTTTTTTTGCTAGAATTCCACGATAATAACCATAATATCGAGATATATCTAGGCCTTAAAGGTTGTTTACTATGATGTACGTTTGTAAAACGGAAACAATACATATATTATGGGCATCGTTTCCTCTTAAGTAGACGTCGCACCCACATGTGTTGTCTACGTCTTACACATGTACGACATCGTAAATTTTCGTTCAAACTTTTAAGTGAGAACATTATCTGTGTTCTCTCGTTGTTTTTTTACGATATTTTAATTTTTTAAATAAAAATATTTGAAAATGCTCATAACTCACTTAAAAATTAAAATATTGTAAAAATCAACGATAAAACATTGCAGATAATGTTTGATAATAAGTCAATTCACACTAATATCAAAACTAAAAGCACACTTTTGAAACTGGTGAGCGAAAATTTACTATGTCGTACGTGTGTAAGACAGAGACAACATATACGGATGCAACGTCCTCTTAAGTATTTTGTAAAATATCATAACAGAAAATATTATTCTATAACAATATAGTTATAGGCAGTGTTAAATCCAGGTATACTTCAGGGGGAATACACCCTCTTAAAATTTCTTTCGCACCCCAGACAAATACAACTTTCCACAAAGTTTACCTATTTATTAAAGCACAAATGTACAATACTCGTAACGATTACCGCACTTAATGACTAAATTTTAAATTGTAATAACTAATCATTAATATTAGGTATACCTAATTCATAATACTGAAATGTATTACCATTCGCAGTGAAATAAAAAGTGAGTTCCCCCAGAGAAATTGTCTGGATTCAACCCTGTTTATATGTATAATAGGTACCTATAGCCTATAGGTATTATATAGAAATACATGTTAGTAACAGTCGTTTCAGGTTTTAATCCCGGCCCGGGCACATATTTTTGAAATTATATGAACAAAACTTATATTTTACATTTTTATAACGACGTTCCCGACATGAGCGAGCGTTTAATAGGAGCGTATGTATTTTTTAATGATTTCTTGACAATATAAGCCACACAAGAATATTTTTACCCTGTGAACACATTTTATTGGCCATATGGCCATGTGGCATGTAGTTTAAGTATCACACACTCACACCACCCGGTATATTACATTTATGTTCTCGTCGATTATACTAGTAAACTCACGTCAACTCTTCCGTATATACAGAGTAATATACAGTTAGAGTAAAGTTTTAATTTTATCTGTAATAGAAAATAATATGTAATTTTATAAAGAGACTTTTATAAGCTATTAAAATTGCTCCAAGCAGGTAACTCCGAACTTTACAGTTATTAAAAATAAGTACTAACTATAGTTACTTACTGTAATAAATAATGATATTATAAAACTAGTGTAATTTCTTTAAAACTTATAGGTTTACGACGAAAATACAAGGTATGTACCTATAAAAATGTAAAAAAGTTCGGAATATCTGACCGTTGACAATTTAACATACTTAGGAAAAAGTATTATCTAATATATGAATTACATTTTATAAGTAGTAAAATTCTTAGCACGTTATTGATATGATATTATAGTCCCAAATAACAGCCGTTTGCTATAAAATGTCTACTATTAATTGATATTTATATTTTCTCTACAATTACTAGGCTACGATAATCGAAACCTACTCGGTACTCACTATTCTTACTTACAACGGGAATAAATAGTGAAGAGTCGCGACAACATCGTATATGGGTCTGAATTCCTTAGTTAGCGTCGGATGGTACCTACGGAATTGGTTACGAATTGGTTGTGTTTTGACTATTTTGATTCATTCGATTGACCAATTACTAAATCACACGTGATATACAATTCTGGACATAGTACCTATACACATTTTGTATGCTATGTATAATTATGATTGATCTTACTCTTTATTGTTTAGTATAGGTACTCGTATTTGTATGCTATACACTCGTTGTTTAACTTGTAATATAACCTGAAGATTAAACATAATTTATTTAATAACCAATATTGTTTTACTTCAATCTACCTATAATCAAAACCACAATTCAGAACAGACAGCGATAATATAAAAAAAAAAAAAAAA